CGCAAAGCATTCTTTCAAAAAGACCTTAAAACAAATCTGTGGCTGCGATCGCACAAGGGTTGGGAATGTCGAGGACGTGATCTCCCGATCAACACTATTAACGGCGATCATATCCGTGACTGGGGAATTCTGCACGAGAAATGTATCGTTGATGGATGCATGGAAAACGCAGCCGCGCTAATAGGACACCTTGTAGACTAGACCGAGTAGTTCTCGATTGAGCAATGAAATTTAGATTACCGTCTTCCTTCATTCTCTTCTCTTAATAAGTGTCGTGTTCGCCAAACCTGCTTGGATATACAACGTGGGTAGCATATCAAGGCGCTCGCGCTTGATTTTGGATTGGACCACACCTGACCCCCAGCCGCGACGCAGTGCCATGTCTTTACACGAAGATCTCACCTCACAACCAAGCCAAAGTGACGCCTATCCATTGCTCGTCATCCAACCTAAACTAATGAATCACCAGGGAGCGTAGTCCAAGTGTCCAACCGTCAAGCAAGACTGCCGAACGAGATTCTGATAACGATCATCGAATTCATACATGCGAAAAAGGAGCTATATACACTTTGTCTATCTAGTAGACTCGTTCGAGAAGTTGCAACGCCAATTCTCTATCTGCACCATTTTGCCGGCAATGCATTAGCCAATGCTCACTCTCTCAATCTCTCCATGTTTTTACAGCACCCTCAATTCGAACACATCGTGAACACTTTGCAGCTTCTACTTTCTTCCGAGAAATGTCCACACAGAGGATGGGATAAACCTCCTCAGTCCTCATCTCAATGCTCATGTACTGTACAGGACGAGGAACTAGGAGCTGTATTGACCAATTTACCCAATCTCAAGGTATTGGACATCAATTGTAACCTGTGTCCCGTACAAGGATTCACCCGGCATCAATACTTCGTTCATCTGAAAACACAGGTACTACAAAGCGTACATCTAACGTGCTATTGCTCTCGAATAAAGGGAATAGAGATGACACAGATGCTAGGTTCGCGATGTATGGACTCCGTGACCTCGTTGGATGTCCTACACGAGAGGTCCTACCTGGATGATAGCACCCGTTTCGAAGCATTCCTCAGGGATCCAAGAGTACTCCCTAAACTCGAGGAATTTCATCATAATGGGAGCAAATTTGATGATTTGCTACTGCGTCATCGCCGAATACGTCGGCTCAGAGGAACTCACTTTTGTGATTGTAATGCGCTTCTGAATAGTGGGATTTTACGGAGAGAGACTATAACACTCACCCATTTGAGCCTTCAATCCTTCAAGATTGAAGATTTGGCTAAACTTATAGAAGAAGACCCAAATCCTTTATGCAGCCTCCGACATCTGGGAACCTTCCCGTTTAGAAAACCGTCATTTATGGTAAGTATCAGAGTGTCTCAATCTTCTCTGGAGTCCACAATTAATTTCTCATAAAGCTTAGCTCAACACTCCTGGAAAACCTTGGTCGGTGTGCACGCATTACCAGGTTGGTTTCCTTCGACGCATATAGTCGCTCCAATGTGCTTTTCACCGATATAGACAATTTTTTCAACGAGCACTCGACTCAGCTCTTGACCTGGTTTGCTAACTTGCGCAAAGCATTCTTTCGACTACACCAGACAGGTACAAGTATATGGCTGCGGTCCAATGAAGGATGGGAACGGCGGGGGCATAGTTTTATGCTTTCTGAAGGTGATTTCATACGAGACTGGAGTGTTTTACATGATAAATGTATAGCCGATGGGTGCATCGAGAATGCAGCGGCGTTAATAGGGCATCTTGAAGACTAGGCCAAGTGGCTTTTAATCGAGAAGTGAAATTTAGATCATTATTATCTCCTTTAATCCTGTTCTCCTGGTTAGTGTATCGTTTGCTAGGTTTGCTTGAGTATACAACGTGGGTATTAGCATATTATGGGCGCTTGCCAGACTTGGATTGGACCATACCCGCCTCGACTGTCGACACCATGTCCTTACACGAAGAGCTCTTCCCACAATCAAGCCAGGGTGGTACCTATCCGTTGCTTCATCGTCAAAACGTAAATTGACGAATCGCTAGGGGGCAAATACGGAGTGTCCGGTCAATCAAAACTGCCAAACGAGCTCTTGATTACAATCATACAACTTGTTCATCCAAAAAAAGAGTTATATGAACTCTGTCTAACTAATAGACTCGCTCGAGAAATCGCAACACCCATTCTCTATCTACATCACTTTGCCAACAGTCGACTGGCCACCTCTGCCGGTAGTTTCCATGTGGTTCTACAACATCCCCAATTCGAGCACATCGTGAATACTTTCAATTTTTCACTTTCTGCCACCGCAAACTGCCGAGTGGGACCACGGCATGAACATTCGTCTGGGTCTCGATGCACATGTACTGCACAGGACGAAAATCTAGGGGGCGTATTGACCAATTTACCCAACCTCAAAGTATTAAACATTGACTGTGGTCTGTGTTCCGCACAAGGATATCACCGACATGAATATCTCCTCCATCTAAAAACACGAGTATTACAAACGTTACGATTCGTGTGCCGTTGCTCAACAATAGGGGAGATAGAAATGTCGAAAATACTAGGTTCACCATGTATGGATTCCGTGATTTCGCTGGCCTGGCACATCGTCGGATTTCGCGAAGATGCTTGCGCTCATTTCGAATCGTCCCTGAAGAATACAACTATCCTTCCTAAACTCGAGGAACTCGATCATCAGGATAGACGATATGACGACTTACTATTGCGGTACCGCCGAATACGTCGACTAAAGGGGACCTCCCTGCACTTTCCGATGCTGAATGGCAGAGATTTGCAGAGAGAATATTCAGCATTAACACATTTGAGCATCTCTTATTTGGATGTCAAGCATTTTTCTGCTAATGTTCTAGAACAATACCCTAATGCTTTACCCAATCTTCGACATATCGGAACACCCCAGTATTGGGGGAAATCTCAATCCCCTGTAGGTCTCGGCCTCTTGATCATAGCCTGTGGATACCTATTTACTTACCTCCAAAGTTCCGTCCAGATTTTCTTGAAGAGCTAGGTCGGTGTCGACGCCTCAGCGGGTTGGTTTCCTTCGACGTATTGGGCCGCTACGATGTTCTCTTCACAGATTTTGAAGCATTTTTGGACACTAATTCGAATCAGATTTTGACCTGGTTTCCCAACTTGCGCAAAATATTCTTTCATCCGTCCCACAAGGGCAGAAGTGTGTTGCTGCGGTCTAACAAAGGATGGGTATGTCAAGGACATCATTTTCAAATTTTAGAAAGGGATATTATACGGGATTGGGGTATTCTATACGAGAAATGCATAGCTGATGGATGCCCGGAAAACCCAGCGGCCGTGATTGGGTATCTTGAGGACTAGAATAGCCGTGTACGATAACACATTTCCACTAGAGCCATCAATTTTATAGACATTTCTCTCATCTCTACCGTCCCATCTTTGTTCAAGTTGAAACGTCGAGGCGGCGGCCAAGTAATAGGAGGTGTGAGTTTTCGACTGCTCGAGGTCTTCCTGGGAAATGTTGTGGATAAATAGGGGTGACGTTAGCCAAGTTTCGTGTCGAAATTTGTGACACAAAAGAAGGCACAACGACTGCCTAAAGGGAGGAAAACTGTGTAGCTGGTATAGATCCTGGTCCCGAGTGGCCTAGACTATTGTCCGAGTAGCCGCCCGATGAGAGGAGATATCACGGAGAGTTGCACACAAATGGGTGGACATGTGGTGCTGAGCACCCTGAATCGGTCGAAGAGTGAACCTTTCTAGAGAATATTCCAGGGATTCTAGAGTGTGAGTGCCCATTGGAGATGTCAGACACTTGTCAGACGTGTTGAGATCGGCCTTTGCACCCAGGGGCTCATCGGGCAGGTGCGTCGAGGGACTAGGGATCGAGAAATCTGGTCATCGAGATTGTGGAACGATTGGCTTTCCTGAGCGGCTATGGTGTATAGGCAAGACTGGGGATTGGAGAGTAGACGATTGGCGTGCCTGGCAAAACCCCCTGGGTTGGGCCCGGATGACCCGAATTGAGTAGAGATAACTTGGGAGATAATGCTCGCGATGAGCAGACGAGAGTTGGACAACTTGCAGAGATGGTAGGGTCCAAGGTCGAAAGATGACGATGCTTTAGCGTGTAATTTAGTCGAATAGTCTGCGATGGCGCAAGTCGCGTGGAATGTCCATGGCCAATGCAGCGCGCGTGGCCATTCCCTTTTCTGGCAGCTCGCTTTTCACTCCCGGCCACAACCTCTCTGCTCTCCCGCTCTCGCTCTCTCAAATGGCTTCAACGAATAAAAACGGACAGACCCATGTAACTGTATTAATCGAGCAAAAAGACTTTACGCCATTCGGCCCATTACGAAGATCCTCCCTTACGCCTTCTATCACGACTATCACCGCTGGAGCGGCCGACAATAGCTCTAGCACTACGAGCAACAACGAGTGGAGAGATAGCAATAGCGCAAGCATTGCCGCGAACAGGCGGCAGAGGACGTCTACGACTTTCCATCCCTCGCTTGACGTTCCGGATTCTCTCGTCGCGTCGCTATCCAGCACAGCTATAGGTGAGTGATGAGCATATTTAATTTCTCTCTCTTTGCGTTGCTGGATGTGGTATGCTGACGGCTTTCCGTCCTGGTGCTCATTATCATCTTTACGCATCGAATCTTCCAATAACATCATCGATACCCGGCACCTTGCAATATCACGCGGCACAATTATACGACTATTCACCTCGATGGACACATCCAAACCCATCTCTGCCTGCTGCTCGTACCTCCCCCTTTTGCCCCTGTACAACATCAAACCCTTCATCTCTTCCTCTCCAACTTTTTCCTCCTTGATCCTTACTTGCTCTATTTCTAAATACACGCACGTTCCTTTCCTTCCTCCTATCATTAACTGCGTTCCTGATGCTACTTGCGTCGGTAACCCTTTCCAACTCGTCCCTCGCTTGTTCGTCTATCCGTCTTATCTCGTCTTGCCCGCGCCTCTCCATAATCTAAACAGTAAAAATCCAGCCAAATCTCCTTCCTCTCCCCACTTCACGCCCCCTTGTCATCTTAATCCAACTCCTTGACTATATACCGCCCGAGCTTTCGACCACTCCTTCAACCGTCTGCTTCCCCCCTGTGGCTACCCCCACGGCAAAGAGTATCTCGCGTGCTTTGACTCCGTTGAAAGCCGCCATAAGCCAGCTGGACACGATTGGCGCCAGGAGCGGAGTTGCTTTATTGGGTATGTCATATTTACCTGCATCACCTTCCACTTTCGTCATGGATCGGCAACCTTACTGAAGCTCGATTTAATCTCATAGTTTATTCCGATAATATACATTTGCCGGTTGAGATTTCGACGACGGCCTATGCTGAGGGCGCTCATGGAGTGATCTTGCCGCCTTTTACCCCAGCTGC